GTTTCTAAGTCACCAATTTAGTGCTCCTTGGTCCCAATGGAATTTCCCATTGGGAACCTACTAGCACTAAGTTGCTAACTGGTTAGCAATTTAGTGCTACTTGGTCCCAATGGAATTTCCCATTGGGAACCTACTAGCACTAAGTTGCTAACTGATCAGCAAGATGCTTCCAAGAAACCGGCTACAATGAAACTTGCTTGCGAACCTTCTTCTACAACAATCCCACCCTCTTTATAAACAACCAATCAAATTCCCTTTATTCACTTCTTGCACCACTCGGGAGAATTTGGAAATGCAACGGTTGGAACAGCCCTTTCCCTACGACTTGAAGTCAAATTGTGAACCCTGTCCTCTGTTTCTTACAACGAACAACAGCTGTTACAGGAAAGCTATGGTTGATTCTAATTTAATCTGTTGCCCTTGATATAAATATAGTTTTTAATGGTCTTCAATGTTTTTAGTTGGATCACCCCACTAGTTGCTTCAGTGACATAGTTGGTAATTAATGAGTAAAAGTTTCACTTTTCACATCCACTCTTAAGTGAAACAAAATGTTGCACAACAGCCGCTGTGATGTCTGATTTGAAGGAGGACTTGGACTTTGATCACCCCGCTACTAAAGGAAGGTTCGGCAGTGAATGATTATTTAGAGTAGGCCTCAGTGTTTAGCTGCCAATCAAGAAGGAACCTTCAGTTTATGTGTTTGAAAGTCTGAAAAAACATCTAAATGTACTCTTCACCTGCTCAAGTAAATCTTAACAGCTCATTGTAAAAGTATTTTAGACAGAAAGTAAAATTTTTATGCAGCAAAAATAAAATCCTTTTTTGGTGTAGAGGTCTGGTTAAAGGAATAGTACACCCAAAACATGATTAGCCTTCATTTTCTACTCACCCCCATGCTGAACAACACTCTGGAGTACTTTTTTGATATCTCAAAGGCATCTGGAGATCTGGGAGGCTTCTTGCTGTCTGCTGACATTCAAATAATGGAGGTCTATGGCGCCCGAGGCAGAAAGGTCCATAAAAGTCCACAAAAAACGTGTCAATATTCCTCCATACTGCTCGTCCAATGTATTCCAAGTGTCCTGAGTGGGTAGCATCCAGAATTTACTCGAAACGAAGTCATTTAGAATGTTTTTAGAGCATAAACAGTAGTGTATAGGATTTCCTAAAAGCGCGCGCCTGCGAGTTCACGAGTCTACGGAAACCGCGGCAGACCAAACCAGATGAAAGTGCGCATTCAGCGTCTTCTCTGCCGATAATGCAAGCATAGAAGAAGAAATGTGCTGTTTACCTGTGTAAAGAAAGAAACAACGAAAGAAAAATGTCTGAGGACTTCAGTGTTGAGGAAGAGCATGAGTTCTTTGCCGAGCTGAATGCGCACTTTCATCTGGCTTGGTCTGCCGCGGTTTCCGTAGACTCGTGAATGCGCTTTTAGGAAATCCTATACACTACTGTTTATGCTCTAAAAACATTCTAAATGACTTTGTTTCGAGTAAATTATGGACGCTACCCACTCAGGACACTTGGAATACATTGGACGAGCAGAATGGAGGAATATTGACACGTTTTTTGTGGACTTTTATGGACCTTTCTGCCTCGGGCATCATAGACCTCCATTATTTGAATGTCAGCACACAGCAAGAAGCCTCCCAGATCTCCAGATGCATTTGAGATATCAAAAAAGTACTCCAGAGTGTTGTTCAGCATGGGGGTGAGTAGAAAATGAAGGCTAATCATGTTTTGGGTGTACTATTCCTTTAAAGTAATGTATTTATTTTTAGAAAATCTATTATTTTCATGTATTTATTATTACACTGTACTTATTAATGTAGTAATGTGCTGGTTTTGATGGGAACTGAGTCCTTCGGGTTCTCTCCTCTAAAAGGTGATTCGATCACTGATCCAATAATGAAACGGAAACCAAGAAAAGCAGATTTAGGGAGATGCAACATGAAATACATGATCTTTTTCTTTAACCACCCATAGGCAGATTCTGGCTGATTGATTTTTATTGGTGGCTGAAAAACACTAGAATAAAAACTGAATCAGTCTCTCCTTTCATAGTTTAATACTTAAAGGATTGGAGCTTACAAATGTTTCATTACATCTCATAAGAGGCAAAACTTAAGAGTTTGCATCCTGCTGCAGGGGTGGACTGTGACATCGATGTGCCAAAGACCATTCAGATGGTTCGTTCGCAGCGCTCTGGGATGGTGCAGACTGAGGCGCAGTACAGATTCATCTACATGGCTGTGCAGCATTACATAGAAACGTTGCAGAGACGCATAGAAGAGGAACAGGTCTGCAGAAAGTTGCATCATGGTTTTGTTTTGTACCTCTTCTGGTTTATTTTACTATAACGTTTTCTTTCTCTTTTGCAGAAAAGTAAAATTAAAGGACGCGAATACACCAACATAAAGTACTCGTTGTCTGACCTAGCCGGTGGAGAGCAGAGCCCTTTACCTCTTTGCTCGCCCATCCCTACACCCGTCTGCACAGAGTGAGTAAAGCTGAGACATTTTGATTTCTTTGAGTAAAATTTGACTTATTTCTCCAAAGCATGAGTCTGTTGTTTCTCACCAAACTGTCGCTTCCATCAGGATGAGGGATGACAGCTCTAGGGTTTATGAGAACGTGGGCCTGATGCAACAGCAGAAGACCTTTAGATGAGATTTGCCTTTAACTCCAGGACTATCAGTTCCAGGTAGGTACTGCTCTGAAAATTTACCAACAAATTGTGAACATATTGAATAACTAAAACTTGGAGATTTAGTTAATTAATAGGTCGTCAAATCAAGGCTATAACCTATTAATGATTATTAGTTAAATAATTATAACTGAAATCTGCTAACTCAGAAAGGGTCTTTAGTCTTTAGGCATTCAGCCTTTTTTTTTCATTTGTAATAAAATTTTAAAACTATGGCCATTTCTCAATATGTCTACTTGTGCGTTCTCAAGTGGTTGTGTACTTGTGAAACGTCTCAGCCCTAGTACTGTTCCAATTCACAAGAACACAAGTTCAAAAACAAAGTCCCCGCATGTTGTTCTCGTGCCTCTCTCTTTACCCAGCATGCATCAGTGCAGACTTGTCCATTCTTGAGGTTGACAGTTGTCCCAGCATGCACTGCGGCAGCAGCAGCAGCCTCAATAGTGCGCTCACAGAGCTCAGAGTGTTAAATTAAAAGTTCTCTTTTCTGTTGCCGTTGTACAATAAAAGTATTCAGGCGAGAACCATATACTGTTAAGCATCGCTATATGGCCCATCTACTGATTTGATGCGTAAATAAAAAAAACATTCCAAAGTTGAGAGTACCGTGGCAACCAGCGGACCTCCGAGGCTAACCGCAGCCAGGTCTAATACTAGCCCGTCTGCAGCAGTCGTCTCTCTGCATAGTCATGTGTGAAGTACCACTGGCTCTGATGGTGAATGTTTTTGTGTGTTTAATTTGGCAAAATGTTCATTTGATTTGTGTTTATCCGACTGTGTTAATTATTATTCCCCCAATAAATGAAAAAAGTCAGATTTTATTATCTAGAGACTATTAATAACAGACGTAGAAATACAGCTCCAGACAAGCTGAGAATGTGATGACGTCACAAGTACGCTTCTGCTCCAATTGAACCATATTTATCCTGTGTTCTTCTCAAGAACATACTTGGTGAGGATGTTTGTCTTTACATTTAA